TCAACATAACAAAAAAATCTCCTTGTGTCAGTGTTACTGACACCCAGGTTTGTACAGAAGTAGAGTCATGCAAAAGAGCAACACCAAAACATGTCCCTCCTAATGCACACTATGAAACGCAGCCCCTAAGCGGCCCAAGCTTTCAAAATTTATTAACAGGTCTTCTCCCTGTTCCCAAATAGGGCTCCCCCCACTTTGCAACCTAATACTTTCCCAAAAATGAAATTATAAGGTGGATGGCAAAGGAAGGCAGAGAACAAAAAGGCTCTTTCAAAACAGTCCCCAGAAAAAGCGAGGGAGAGAACCTGCTGACCAAAGGTGCTTTTGCCTCCACCTGTAGTCTTTTCATGCAGCCCGACACGCCGAGGTGAAATCCAGAGCATGGGCTGCCTCCTGAGCAGACACTCAGATGTTTCCAAACTCCCCGAGCAAATGAGGCAGAAGGATACTGGCTGTTGCTAGGAGAGGAGTTTCACAGAGCAGCAGGATTCCTGATAGACCTACACACGTGGATAGGGCAGGGAAGGAGGGAATTAAAAAAACCCAGGCCCAAACAAAGATGCCTTTTGAATCACGTGCGCGCATTTGCCATCTGCTGCTACATCTCCGAGCATTGTTGTGGATGTGAAGGAGGGCCTGCTGGTCCCTTCAGCTGATTAACTTGTTCACATGGCCAGGGGCACCTCTCTGCAATGCAGATCTCACCAAAACAACTGCACCAGTGAGTTATGATTTAATGAGGCTATGGTGATAAACTGTCTTCAAAAATTACACTGCTAGAGTGCAGCTTCTCCTGCTGGATGGGTAGAAGGCTCCTTTCTGGATGAGATCAGGAGGGAAGTTTAGATAGCATTTATCAGAGAGTAACTGTTTCCCTCAGATAAAATGCCAGTGGTATCATCTGCAGTATATATTCAAAAAGGAAGCAATCAGTAACTCACCCTGAACATGGCACCCTGCCTCCTGCTTGACTCCAAAGCACTTTACACCTCACCAACACCAGCACATGGTGGCTGTGCTACCCTGCGTGATCACACAAGTAGCCACAGGATGGGACCAGAAGAATATGTCACTAACAAACTGCGCCAGGAAAACAGGACAAAGCAAGCATCTGTCTGCTAAGTTAGTGCTGTTCCAAGAACCGGGAGCTAACCGATACCTCACTTTAAACACTGAGCTAGAATCAGATTTTTGGCTTTACACTTTCCTGAAGCAAAGGACCCAAAAAAATCACAAACTTTGTCTCTACAGAAGATTGGAGGGAAAGCCCAACACATCTTGTCATGCTCAGAGGCCAGCGAGAGAAAAGGTTGGGTTGGACGGGGCTTTGAGCAACCCCATCTAGTGAAAGATGCCCCAGCTCTCGGTAGGGAGGTTACACTACATGATCTTTAAAGGTCCTTCCCAACCCAAACCACCCTATGATTCCATGATTTTCAGTCACTGAGCAAACCACAGTCAACGAGTCAAGCACAACATAAAACTTTATCTCAGTAGGTGACAGAGATGCTTTCTCCACATGCCCAACCAGAAGCCAAAGTTCTCTCAGGGCAGACACTTCCCACCTCCCCCATCTTCTGCCTGACCCCTCCTTACCTTCATAGCAGTCCCGCACTGTGCCAAAGTAAACATAGTACTGGTCATTGGTGAAGAACAGGAGGCTGAGCCATGAGTCAAAGGCGTAAATGGGCACAATGAATAGGATCCGAACAATGTAGCGCTGTTCGTTTGGGCAGCTATAGCAGCGAAGATGCATGTAGATCTGAGAGGACGGAGAGGGGAGACCAGGATCAGCGGTATATGGAATAGAGAGGAGAAAGTGGAACTGGAGAGTCAACTGGGCCAGGAAAAACACTCAGTAAATCATCTCTTGATTGCCTCCAGCAGCCTTAAGGTGGTAAGCATTAAAAAAAAAAAGCAATCACTATTATCTTATGGCATCCATATAGCATCCCTTAGCTTGCAGAGTGGGAAGGGAGAGAAAAAGTAGAGGCACTTCTAAATCTATTTTCTTATAGGGAATTAATTTACTGTTCTCATCATCACCTTGCCCGTATTCTTTTGTTCACACCTTTTTTTCCCCTGGTTAGCAATCTCATATTCTTGCTATCCTGTTTCAGGTACCTAAGATTCACAACACTGAAGCCTGCTTTGCTCTGAAGAGGGAAGGGGCATACACTTAAATGCATGCTCATTGTAAACACTCTCATTCTCCTGGCAGTTTTGGATGCTTTCGAGACTTTCACCTGAAACAACCTAAGAGAGCCCTTCACAGCACTGCCAAGAGCTGATAAGCCACGGCCCGTCTGCTCAAAAAGTGCTATTCTGCACATTGGTGACAGCACAGCCAAAAGCATCAACCATCAAGCGAGCACCAAGCTCGTGCACCGTGCCCAAAGGAGCCACGCAGCCACAGTGCGTTTTGTCTGACTGTCTGCACACATGCCAATCCCTCTAAGTCACTGGCTGGGGGGAGCGCAATGTCCCCACCCCACCGGCTCCCACCTCTCACAGTTTGTTAGCCATCATTAAATCCCACACCTAAGATGCTTTTTCACAGAATACCCACCTCCTGGAAAAGGTATTGGCCACAAGCATATTCTGAAGATGAGCACCACTCCTGTAATGGCCTAATAACACGGCCAGAGCTTCAGCGCAAGTTGTGGGTACGCTCTGTCGGCCACAGAGTCAGCAGAGGGCACGTTCTCCAGAGGCAAGACAACCCTCATCAAGCTGCTGCCCCAACTGCTGGGGTTAATAACCAGTTTATTACATACGTGCCTCACAACTGACCGATTTGACTGCCTGAAGAGGCACAAGCATTTGTCTGAAGCTTCACCCTGCATTTGGGGGTTCTGTGAGGATTCTCCGGGGTCTAACGAAGCATACATTGATGATCTCACCTTTCTCTCGTAAGGGAGAGGGGGTTGTCGCTCCCCAGCTGTCTGTTGCTCATCTCTCCCTGCCTCTTGGCCAGATCTGGTCAAAATCGACTGAAGGGCTCTAAATACTTCTGTTTCCTCTCCCTAATCCATGAGGAGCTCACAAAAGCCTCACTTCCCGAGGAGAACAGGTTGAAAATAAACTAACAAACCTTAGGGATATTTTTTCCTTGTGACAATCCCAGTGACACACCTCACCCAGCACAGGGACAGCTGACACCAGAGTTCAGATGACTCCAAGCTTTGCCCTTGGGATGTCACAAGAGCCCTGCAATCTGTGCGCCTACAAGAACACAGGAACTGCTGCCTTGTAAGAGGACAACGGCGCATTTCAATCAGCATCATCTCTCTGGCACTGACCTCCATTGCTTTCTTCAGAGAAGGGCATTAATGCCTAACTGTGCAATGCTATACTGCAGAAGAAAGATTTCTTCCTACCCTTAGTAGGCGATCAATTTGACAGGAGGATCCATGGCACTTGTAATTGTTACCCAAGCTGGTGAAACTGCAGGTGTTACTCTTATTCATCAGTGACTAATCCATTTTTGAACTTCACTAGCCCCTGTACTCCTACAATAGGCTGTAGTTTTCTAGATCCTAGTCATCACTCTGGAATCTACGGACCAACAGGTACAAAACACAGGTTGATAAATAACAGGGCTTGCGTTTCCCCACTGTGTTTTTCAGTTCACATGACAACTGCATGAAAGAGAGGTACAGAACAGGATGCAGGGTTTGACTCGCTCTGGCTCCCAGGACACCTGCCCCAGAAAGAGGGGAGGGGAGAAAAATTAAAATAAAACATTTCCTGCTACTCCTTTCCGCAGCAGAGGTCAGCCTGTGGAATCCACTGGCACAAGAGATCAAAGGAGGTACGTCAAACAACAGATGACCACGATCATTTAGCTAACAGCTGACACAATAACAAAAATGGCTAGATTCAGCTACAAGACCTGGGAAAGGATGGCTTGAGATAACACACCTTTCTGCAAACACTCAGGAGATGGCCAAATGTTTTACACCTGCTAGTTTTAAAGAGTTTGCTTCCTCTCCATTCACACTATGGAAAGAGTCTGAGCCTGGGCAGAAAAAGGCCTTCATATAAAAGTTGCCACCTTGATGAGCACAGATAATCTATTAGACCCCAAAGAAGATGTCCTGGTACCACTCCAGAGCCTGCAAACCCCCATCACACTGCTGTACCTGGCAGAGTTATGCCAGGGGATCACATGCATTCCTCACATGGGGAAAAGAAAAGGATGAGAAGTATGAGCAACAGGGTTTTACCTGATGGCAAGTGATGAGCAAAGCTGTCCATACAAAGAAACCTGAGATGGCCTGAGCAGCGGTGGTCATGAGGAAAATTGGCTGCTCCACAGCCGTGGGGCTGCCATCCTCCGGCATCCAGGAGCAGGTGGGAGCCACAGCTGGAGGGGTGGGGGG